TTGGGTCTGCCAGGAAGGGGAAAAGCCAGAGTGGAAGATAGGAGAGAACCTGAGTGAGGAGGGGAAGGAAGCAATGCGGGCACTGCTGGCCAAACACCGGAAGTGCTTCGCCTTCTCACTGCAGGAGTTGGGGAAGTGTACAGTCAAGGAAATGGCGCTGAAGCTGAGCAGCGATGAGCCGGTGTTCCACAGGAGAAGGAAGATGACACCGGCAGACGACGAGATCTGCAGGGAGAAGATAAGGGAGTTGCTAGAGGCAGGCCTGATCAGGAGGTCCGAGTCAGAGTACGCCACTCCAACGGTGGTAGCAGCGAGGAAGGACTTGACCGGAGAGGTGCTGAGCAGGCGGATGTGTGGGGATTACAGGGCGCTCAACAAAATTACAGTGCCGGACAGGTACCCCATGCCCATGGCCGAGGAAATCTTCGACAAATTAGCGGACGGGGGGTTCTTCACGACGTTAGACCTGCGACAGGGCTTCAATCAAATCAAGATCAGGGAAGAGGACGTGAGGAAAACAGCTTTTCACGGGCCGGATGGGCTGTACGAGTGGCTGTACATGCCTTTTGGCTTGAGGAATGCTTCAGCTGTGTTCCAGAGAGTCATGGATGCCGTGCTAAGGGGAGTGGAGTGTGCGGAGTGTTACATCGATGATGTGGTCATCTTCAGCGTGACCGAACAGCAGCACCTCAAGGACGTGGAGAGGACACTGAGCGCGATAGAAGGGGCGGGACTCACCTGCCACCCGAAGAAGTGCCGCTGGGGGGAGCAGACTGTGCAGTACCTGGGGTATGAGGTGCAGGGAGGACAGATAGGGATACAACAAGCAAAGGTGCAGGTGCTGGACAAGCTGAGGGAGCCGCGCGACAAGTCAGAACTACGGGCAGTCTTAGGCTTCCTGAGCTACTACAGACGCTTCGTGCCCAATTTCAGCAAAAGGGCGACAGTATTGAACGGAATGCTGCGGGAGGATAAGGCGTGGGAGTGGGGAGCAGAGCAGAAGACAGCATTGCAGGACTTGATGACTGCAGTGAAGACCGCAACAGTGCTGCAGCTGCCAGCGCCAGATAAACCCTTCACCCTCTACACCGATTGGAGCAGTCAAGGGATGGGGGCAGTCCTCTGTCAGGAGGTGGAGGGGACCGAGAAGGTGGTAGCTTATGCTAGCCGGAGCTGCAATGCGGCAGAGGCTCAGTACAGTTCATACATCGGCGAAGGGCTGGCAGCAGTGTGGGCGGTGGGGCACTTCACGGTGTACTTACAGGGCAGAGAGTTCACCCTGGTCACTGACCATCAGCCGCTCACATGGCTGATGACCACACCAGGGCTGACGGGCAGGAACGCGAGGTGGGCAGTAAAGCTGCAGGAGTATGTCGGCACCGACCAGGAAAGACGCTGCAGCACGTCGACGGCCTTTCCCGCAACCCACCACCACTGGAGCCTGAACAGACAGAGCAGGAGAAAGGGAGGACAGAGCAGGAACCCGCGCAGACACTGATCCTGCTGGCCAGAGAGGTGGAGTTGAACGGCGCTAAGGGGAGCAAGGGGCCAGCTGACATATGGCAAGATGAGAAGGCAATGGAATGGGTGAAGGGAGAGACCGAGGAGGACGAGAACGTGTCTGAGAGGGTGAGGGCGCGAGGACACCACTACAGGTGGTATGAACAACAGCTGCAGATCAAGACCGAAGATGGATGGAAGCTGGTGCCAGCGCCGCAGGAGCGAGAAGCAGTGATCAGAGAAGTGCACACTAAGCTGGGACATTTCGGGCATGAGAGGACTGTACATCTGCTGAAGACAGGCTGGTGGTGGGAAGGGATGCGCAGGCAGGTGAAGGAGTGGGTAGAGGGGTGTGAGGCATGCCAGAGGAGCAAGGCCAACCTGACGCAGGCCAAGGCAGAGCTGCAGTCACTACCCATCTGTGGCTTAGGATTTCGATGGTCCCTGGACCTGGCGGGAGAGCTGCCGTTAAGCAGGAGCGGGAACCAGTACATAGTGCTCATGGTTGAGCATGTGAGTAAGTGGCTGGAGGTGCAAGCGATTACTAGCAAGAGCGCAAGACACATTGCAGCGGCTTTCAAGGCGCAGGTAGTGTGTCGCTTTGGAGCATGCGGAGAGGTTCTTACAGATCAGGGAACCGAGTTCCAGGGGGAGTTCAAGAAGTTGCTGTTGGAATCCGGCATCACTCACCGACGCACCTCCCGCTACCACCCGCAAAGTGACGGGCTGACTGAGCGCATAGTACAGACTATTAAGCGAGGGCTGCGTGCCTATGGGGAGCAGAGAAAGAGGGATTGGGATGATGAGCTGGACTGGATAGCGGCTGGGTACAGATTCGGGAAGCAGGCAGCACTGCGCGGATCATTCACCCTACAGTCTGCTATACGGACGAGAGCCGATCCTGCCAGTGGGGGCACCACGGGTTCTGACAGACACAGTGACAGCATGCACAATCAAGAACTGGGTGGCCCTGTCTGATGTCCGGGCACGCTACATGCGCTTCATGATGCCGGCCGCGCTGGAGAACCTGCACACCGCGCAGCTGCGAGATGCCAGGAGATATGAGCAGAGGCAACGCAAGGGAGAGGGGAAAGTGCAGAGGGGCGTATGTGAAGGACAGGAAGTTTATCTGAAGAGAGCGAAGCAAGACACTCTGGATGTGGGATTGGGGACAGTGCGTTGGAGAGTAAAGGAGGTGCGCCCTTCAGGAGTGCTGGTACTGGAAAATGAGAAAGGGGCGCAGCTGAAGGAACACCAGACGAACACTGCTGTGATAAGGGGAACCGGGCCTCAGCGTACTGGTCCTGTGACCCGTGCTCAAGCTGCTCAAGCACGGGCACAAGAGGGGGCAGGGAGTGGCTGAGGCAGCACTAGAAGCCAAAGAGAGGAAGAGCATCAGATTGCAGGACAAATGACAGGCAGAGCTGTGTCACAAATGGCAGGCAGAGCTGTTTCTCCGACAAAGGCGAGTCGAGTCCAAAACGACCAATCTTCCAACGCGCAAACACAACCCCCGCCACGCCGATTTCTACTGTGCGTGGAAAACGAGGTAACTGGTTCCCTCGCCTATCATCGCGAAGGAGTTCCCGCGCAAGCGAATGTTTCACGCTTTAACGAAAATTTACTGTAGTGGGCAGAACGCAATGCTGTATCTTTGTTCGTGCGCACGCTGATTCCAGTAACGCGAGGCAGACGATTCAAGGTACGTGCAGGAGGCGTGACGTCTTGTAAACGAAAGCTGTTCGTGTCCGACCTTTTTGTAAAATGCAGTGTCACACCCGAAATGTGGTAACTAGAGGTCTTTATGAACTGTAACATACACACTGGACCCCCCCTAACTTCTTGGTACCATCCGATCACCACGTGCATGAGTTCGTCGTGCATGCAACATGTGTGGCACCGATTATGTACGAACCATGTGCGCGTGCACGAACCATGTGTTGCTTGTGCACTTGGAAAAACATCTCATGCATGCGGATAAAAATGGTTCCCCACGTGATGAAAGCGCATGTTGTTAATCGTACACAGGGAAACACATCTATTTCGTGAGGATAAAAACTAGTTTCCCCTCAAACTCACGTTGTGCGTGAAGAAGCAATCATCCGCTATGCTTGCATGTGACACAAATGTCAGGGCAGGAATGTACCCTTATCTGTTAGGCCCATCTCAAAGTTGTATGCTTTTCAACGTCAGGCCTCACATTTACCCTTTGCTATTTTCACCTTGCTTGGAATGCAAACTTTGGTACCCTTAATCAGTTTGTCTATGCAGTCGTAACCATTTATGTGCCTGTAGCAACCTTTCACGCCGCGGAAATACTTGACTTGGATTGCTGTGCAGCGATCACCGGTACCAATTGTAATTGCAGTGGCACGTGGACACGTCCACAGGCCACCTTTTACCCCCTGGAACCTCCCACAGGCCACCTTTTACCCACTGCCAACCCCGTACCACCCATCTACTAACTACCCGCCACCTGCCACGTACCGGTTCAGTGGTGTAGTAGACAGAGCAGGGGGTGATGGTGGTGGGTGGGGCGACTTGGAGCACCGAGTTGATTGGTAGAGCAGAGTCACATGAGATGGCCTGGTGGCAGGGCGGCACGCATTTACCGCGATGGAGGGGTGGGAGTGGGGTGGAAACAGGGCGTGGAACGAAAGAAGCAGCAGCCCAGCACGCACACCAGGTTCTGCCGCATGAGTTGCTCCCAAGAGAGACTGTGAAATGAAAAAGTTTGAAAACAGGGTATTTTGTGCAGAACACACACAAGCGCACCGGGTTTTGCTGCATCAATTGCTGCTGGGAGAGGCCGTAGATGGGAAAGACGTCTGAGCACTTGACATTGGGTGAGACAACGGTGTAGGTGCCGTTGGTGCTGCTGGGCGCACAGGAGAAGGTGCCATCAACAGTGGTGCCCTGCCTAAAGCCCGGTGGACACACACACGAGTACGAACCCGCCCCGTCATTCACACACGTGCCCACCGCACACGGGTTGCGGATGTTCGCTGCACAGGCGTCCACTGCAGGAGGGCGGTGGGAGGGAGGAGGAAGAGCACGGGGGAGCGTGCATGAGGGATAGGGGGATCAAGAGGGGCAGGAGAGAGGAGGGAAGCGAAGGTGGGGGTGTGTAGTTTGTGTGCGAGAGGCATGAATGCATTCATCAGCAAAGAGGGACAGCATAAGTTTGCAGTTTTACACGAAAGTGAGTGGGACAGGCACAGACGGGATGCAGGAGGCCTCACACAATAGCCACACGTGCGTGAGCCGCTCTTGAAAGATCTCACAGTGTGAAATACAGGAGGCATCATACCATAGGCACAGGTGCGGGAGTCGCTTTTGAGAAATCTCAGTGTCAAGTACAGGATGCATCATACCATAGACACAGGTGCAGAGCAGAGCAGGAGGCATGCATACCGTAGGCACAGGTGCGGGAGCCATCAGTGTTGGTGGCCTCAATGAATCGACCATCAGATGCAGTGTTGCAGTCACAGCGGTTGGACCTGCGGTCAGCAGTGACCGTGCACGTGAAGTTGCCACACGGGTTCAACACCGCACCGATTGGATCCCGGTGCGCCCCGCTGTTGCACGGGTCTCGCTTGTCTGGGTGGGGTGGAGAGGTGTAGCGTAGGGTGGGGTGGGGTGGAGTGAGATGGGACAAGGCGGGGTGGAGTTCTGTCTCTAATGTGGTGACCTGACCTCGGTAAGCACCGCTGACATCGTTCTCTTTTTCGCCATCGTTCTGTTTAGTACAGAACAACCATTTGTTGGGGGACCACGATGCAAAGGATATTTTCTTACTTGCATCCTTTGCATCCTTTGCATCCTTTGCACCATGCTCGCATCATATGCATGGCAGGCAGCAAGCTCAGAGACGGAATATCACCTCACTTACGTGGCCTTATGGCAGCGGCATCACCATCACCATACCAATGACGATGGGGTAAATCCCCGGCAGAGTGTTGATGCCGCACACGCCATCCCCCCCTTGGATGTCCATGCGCATGTGGCCCCCATCGCCCCAGTCAGGCCCCCATGAGTTGCGGATGATCCAGAAGGGCGGCGCCATGTGGGGGAAGGCTTCATCTGCCCCCACCAGGCGGTACCCCACCAGCAGCACCACGTGGTTCAGGTTGTACGTGAAGCACGCTGGGTCCTGGTACTTGTGCAGCTGCTCACAGGAATGGGGATGCAAGGAATGCATGTTGCGAGTGAGTTTGGATTGGAGAAACGCGATGTGAGTGTGAGACATGTACTTCTCACATGCCAGCAGCACGGATATTCCAGAGGCATGCATGCGCTGGTAGTGCAGAGCAGACGAGTGCGCGGGCAAGCAAGTGGGCCACGCCACGATCAAGCAGACAGGAAGAAGCAGGGTTATGGTAAGCCCGTGGAGAGTTCTCAAAGGTGACTCAACATCATGGTGGAAAACATGAAATTCTCAACTCAACTGTGCTTTGCACTGACCTGTGAGAACACGCACCCACCCCATCACATGTTGACAACATGCCCTACATGCACCAGTGGACGCACCAACATGCCGCTCCACTCCACACACCCACATGCCCTCCCACCAAGCCACCCGCCCACGCACGAGCCAGAAGTGGATAGACGACCAGGTGTGGATCCCATCGGTGCTGCAAAGGATGGAAGCGAGGGAGAGAGAGCAAGAGAGAGAGGCGCGGCGGCTCACCCCATCGTAGTTGAGGAAGGAGTCAGCAGACGCCTCAATGTGCACCACCACTGGCTGCCGCTGCACCGCCAGCACCAGCCCGAACCAGTTGTAGAATGCCGCCCGCTCAAAGCCCGTTATGCTGTAGCCCGGACGCACCTGCATGCATGCGCCATGCCAGCCCAGATTTGAAGCAACATGAGAATCGAGAAGGATGCAATGCAATGCAACGCAACGCAACGCGTCCTAGTCTGCCTGATGCCCGTGCATCAGCATTGGACGGACGTGAGAGAGATCCGTTATTGAGTCAACTAAAAAGGTGAGGAATGGTATCACCGTCACACTCCGTCACCCCACTTCCCAACATGCCAGCGCCAGCTTTCTCCTTGGTTGTGCATGCACTTCACTCGCAAATTTTACTTCCAACTTCCAAGGAGCCCCAAAACACTGCACTGCACTCCACTCACGATGCCAGCCCTGGCTTTCTCCTTGGGTGTGCACTTCACTCCCAAGAGCGTCGCTATCGGCTTCAGCAGCGGCGAGCACAGTGCATTCCCACCCGCCGCCGCCGCCGGTGACCCGTGCTTACCCTGCAACCCCACCACACCGCTTCCCCCTGCCACAGCCACACCTGTCGCACTCGCACCCGTCCCTCCAGCCCTCGCCGCCCTCCCAGCCCTCCCCGCTGTCCCGCTTGCTCCTCCCCCCATCCTTTCCACCTGCAGCCCCCCGCCATGCTTGCCAATCGCAAGCAGGTACTGGAATGCCTTGGAGGGCGATCCTCCGGAGCAGTCAGCCTTCATGTCGGCAACGAGAGAGGCGACGGAGAAGACAGGCAGCGAGCCGTTGGCTGAGAGGATGGCGTAGGCGGCTTCAATGCTGGCGACGACAGCGTAAGCCCAGCAGTCGCCACACCCCGCCTGGTTGGGCACCGGCCAGTGAGGCAACAGGTCTGCACGCACCCATGTCACGCTAGTTGCCACTGCCCACTGCTGCTCCCCGTCTGCACCCGTGCCCGCCCCTGCGGCTGCTCCTCCTGCCCCTGCTGGTGCTGCTGCTGAAGGTGGCAGCAGCGCGCCGGCGCTGGCGTAGCGGAAGAAGCGGTTGACTCCTGAGGTGGTGAACGTGGCCTCTGCTAGCGTGAAGCCTAGCGGCAGGGCTGTGGTGGAGGAAGCAGGGTGGGCGACACGTGATTGGGGGATGGGAGAGCGATGGGGGAGGGACAGGAGAGGGATGGGAGAGGGTTGGGTGAGGGACGGTAGAGGGATGGGAGAGGGTTGGGGGAGGCATGGGAGAGGGACGGGAGAGGGACGGACAGAGAGAAACAAATGCAGCAAAGGCAGCACGAGAGCAATAGAAGGCGATGGTGTGTTGGAGTGGATCAGAGTGTTGGAAAGCAATAGAAAGGGAGGAGAGGTGAAGTTAGAAGGAGATGTTGTGGTGGAGTGGATTGGAGGCAGCCAATTATAACAGCACCAGTGTCAACACTCTCATGGTGCTTAGAACTTGGAAATGACATGCCCTGACGCTGCACACACATGACAGGTACTCGCACCATGCTCGCACCATGCTCGCACCATGCTCACATCATGCTCGCACCATGCTCACACCACACATGCACCATGCACTGCACCCGCTTCCAAGCTGCAACATGCCGTGCCCTACCTGATGAAAGAGAAAGAGAACATGTAGAGAGGGAAAAGACCGACTGAGCTTCAGTGCCATCCATTGAAGCGGTACGGAGCAAGAAAACGACTGCGCAACAACGCAGAAGCACAGATTTGGCAACAAGAGAGAAGCAGTGGCCGGTTGGGCAGCAAAGCGAGCGCACGATCCTACCAGACATAAACCAGAGAGGCCACCAAGTAAGTATCTACCTGTATCCAGCGACCACTGCAGCACTGTGTGTTTCTGAGGGGGGTCAGACGAGGCAGCAGTGAAGCCAACCACAAACGTGGCCTCCTCAAACGTGGGCTTCAGCACGCCACACAACGACACGCTGCGCTTGAGAACCGGCTTGGCTGGGCGAGTGGCAGCACTGCCCACATACACCGACAGCAGCCCGTTTTTCCCTGGGGAGTAGTCGATCCACGCGTACTTGGTGCTCCCTGTGTTGAGCCCTGGCACGGCAGCGGTGGTAACAGATATCACAGAACCTCCCACGTTGATGCCCACGTGGCTGCTGTCCGGGTCGCTGCTGCTCGCATCTTTGAACGTGTCAAACTCCACTGCCACACTGCGCTCGTTCATGCCGGCGTAGCCCAAAGTGCTGCCGTCCCCACCGGGGACTTCGTTCCTCGCTGCAATCACAAATGAAAAGCCGCCCTTCCCGACGCCGTTGCTGCCGGTGGCCGGGGCGATGGAGAAGGAGAAGGAGAGCTTGAGGGCGACCTCGCGGCCGCACGAGTGGTTCTTGACGGCGTAGGAGAAGAGGCGCACGCGCGACACCAGGAACGCCGCTCCCCACGCCGCCTGCTCGTTGCTCGTCAGCACCACGCTGTTATCCGGCTGCGTCGCTGCTGCTCCACTCACCGCCATCGCTGCACCGCCACCATCGTTGCAAGAAACACTTATCGAGGTCAGCAAGGAGAAGTCCGCTGGAGCCCCACCACCAGCAGCAGGAACGGCCACACACGTCCCTGGGAGCTCCCCGTTTGCATACCCGGCATCGCAGGCACATGTGGGGATCCTGCTGGGGCCAGAATAGAAGCAGGTGCCGTGCCCGGCACAGGCAGGCGAGGTGGGGGAGAGGCCGCAGAAGAACGCACAGACCTCCTTCACGCGCTGGGGGTCCATGGGGCAGGGCGGCACGTCGGTGGCGCCCAGGCAGTTGGCTTGCACGGCTATGAAGGTCTGGGTGCAGTCGGGCTGAGTGGGGAAGCCGCAGGAGAAGAAGTTGCTGTCTAGCTGGTACTGCTTGATGGATGGCGGGATGGGCTGCAGCAAACAGCCGCTCAGCTGGTTGTTGCGCAGGCTACTGCTTCGGTGGGGTGGAAGAGAGGGGGGTGAGTAGAGGAAGGGACGAGGGAGGGCAAAAATAAAAGGAAGAGATTATCAGGACAGGAAACGGCAAGGGAGAAGTTGATGAATGGCCAAAGACCGAGTAAATTTGTGTTCTCGTCTCTTTGGGAGTTGTGAACATATACAGTCTTCCACAGAGTGTCCGTATTGTAAGGGTACAATCGGGTGCCTCAAGATTCAAAGTGGTGAAGTGGAAAGAGAAAAAACCGTTTTCCCTCGCCGTACTGCGATGCACAAATTGTATGGTGAGTACACTCCATTTACGGCCTTAGATGATCTAAGTTCGATATAACAATGCAGCAACACTTGTCTAGCTTTGGAAGGCGGCAAGCAACCGTATTAACATCTACATAATGGTTGTCAGGTTATTGGTGCATGACATGACATCTACATGATTTCATGGGTTTACTTGTTCTGGCGTTGGTATTTTCTGGTCGAATCAAAGGTGGTCACCTGTTGGTACCAGCTCGGAACACTCACGTACATGTGCACTGCTGGTGGTAGGTGTTGGTAGGTGTTGTTGACACTCACAGGAATGGGAATGCTAGTGTCTGGGAACACAAAGTGCATTGGCACTCACAGGAATGGGAATACTAGTGTCTTGATACAGACAGTGCATTGGCACTCACAGGACTGTGAGTTGAGTGAGGCCGGCCAAGCCCTGTGGCACACTCCCGCTCAGGCGATTGTTGCTCATGTCACTGCCACGGGCGCACAGGGGGTAAGAAACAGAAGCACATGGAGAAAGAAGGCATAGAACGGCATTCGACTTGGACAGTGGATACAATATTTGTAGAGAGGGTGAATATTTGTAGGATGAGGAAGAGGAGGAGGGAAGAGGAAGGAGAGACGGTGAAGGTGCAACAAGCGTTGGTGGGTCCCGTGCTGACATATAAGACTGCACAAGGAAAGTGAGGTGACTTCTGAGTCGACTCAAAAGTCACCTCATATAAGACTGCAGAAGGAAAGTGAGAAGAGAACGCACAGAGCCGTACCGTTGTCTGGAGAGGAGAGGAGAAGCACACAGTGCTTGTTGTGAGGAGAACACGAACACCGCTGCTGTTTTGAGACGTCTCAAAGCTTGCTCTGAGGAGAATACAAACACCGCTGCTTACAGCACACTGAGTTTCGTGAGCTTGGATATCTCGTGGGGGATTGTTTCCTCAAGCGAATTGGAGCTGAGGTCACTGGCGCGGGGAGAACATATAACAGCATCTTTCATTCACGGCAGCAACTTAACGCGAGCAGCTGGTGCATGCATAGGGGGAAGCCATGCATCCATAGGGGGAAGCCATGCATCCATAGGGGGAAGCCATGCATCCATAGGGGGAAGCCATGCATCCATAGGGGGAAGCCATGCATCCATAGGGGGAAGCCATGCATCCATGCGAATTGGTGAAAGAAGTAGATGGTGCTCACAAGCCGAGAGATAAGCACACTATTTCTAGCAGAAGAGGCACACTGCACACATCACTTATACTACTGAGATGGGACTGATCATAGGTGAGTTGAGGTGCTGGTTGGTATTATGAGGTACTAACTACTAGCATTGACACTCACAGGACTGCGAGTTGTGATTTTGAGGCGCCTCAGAAACGTACCACTACTACAAACAAAGCACCAACACTCACAGGACTCAGAGTTCTGCTTTTGAGGCGCCTCACTACTACAAAGCAGCAACACTCACAGGACTCTTAGTTCCCCCAGATTGGACAAGCCCTGCGGCACACTCCCAGTGAGGCCATTATTGCTCAAGTCACTGCCATGACACGGACGCAGCATGCCAGAAATGCAGTCAGAAATGCAGAAACGCAGAAACAGGGTGCTTGGAGCATACGGTGAAGAGGGGAGTCGAACATTCATGATGCGTGTGATTCGGTTGATTGAGCTTGGGCAGCGAAGGCGCAGACTGGTTGAGCAAGAGGAGGAGGGAAGGGTGCTTGCTTACAGCACGGTGAGTTGCGTGAGCGTGGATATTTCATCGGGGATGGTTTCACCAAGGAGGTTGGAGCTAAGATCACTGCATTGAGAACCGATGCGTTGGATTGGTGTACAAGCGCTATACGTAGCAGTGAGAGCAAGGAGGGGCTGGTTGGGCCTTCAGCCAACTTTTTTGGGCCTCACAATAAATTTGGGTTGTGAAAAAGGTGAGCAAAGGTCCCAGAAATCTTGATCAAAGGTGAGCAACGACCACTGAGCATCCAAAAATCTCCCAACCCAAGCCACTGATTCTTTGATGAACTGTTGGTCGGAGAAGCGAATCAATTTTTGGACTTTAAGTTGCCTTGGTTGAAGTTCCGGATTTAACCAGCGTAAAACTAGTCGTAAACCCAAACTAGGTTTGGGTGCCGAACTCTACCCAAACGATGTGAGATATATGCAGGATGCAAGAGGGAGAGGATCCCGACACGTACAGCACTTGGAGTTGCGTGAGCTTGGATATGTCCTCGGGAATTGTTCCATCAAAATCGTTGGAACTAAGGTCTCTGCTTTGGGAAGTACAGATGGCATGTGCTGATTGGAAGAGGCATCGGGTGAGGAGGAGTTGTATCAACATGCATGCATGATCAACCCAAGTTAAATGAAACAAGTTGATGAGGCACAGCTTGTGAAACATTGGGTAGAACATACACACAGTACTTACAGCAAAGTGAGTTGCGTCAGCTCTAAAACTTCCTTGGGGAATGTTCCAGTGAGGGAGTTGGAGCTCAGGTTTCTAGAATGGGGAGCACAGAAGCCAAGGGATGGGATAGTCGATACGGGTGAGGCCCAGGGAAAGGGGTTGCTTGCCAAAGGGTGCGTGCTTGCATGTAGTAAGTAGGTGGATGAGGCTCGAATCGCAACGCTGCACAGCACAGCACAGCACAGGTGGATGGATGAGGCACACAGTGCTTGCTTACAGCACGGTGAGTTGCGTGAGCTTGGATATCTCTGTGGGGATGCTGCCATCAAGGTAGTTGAAGCTAAGGTCACTGCTTTGGGGAGTACAGTAGTGTTGAAGGTACATGCATGGAGGTTGGTGCAGAGGGATGGAGTGCAATGCTTGGTAGGTAGAAAGGTTTGGCGAGAAGTTGTGTTAAGGTACATGCATGCATGGAGGTTGGTGCAGTGCATAGAGATGGGGGAGGCAGGAGCATGTTTACGCTTGATGGTGGGGGTCAAATGTCAAACACATGTTGTGCAAAGGCAGAGGCTGGAAGCTAAAATCACTTTTGCAGCACGGTTTTACAAACTTTCACAAAGGTGGCACTTTTGCACACGCAATGGACCTATCATGCCTAGATAGTGCACGTGTGGTACTATCGGTCGGCCTGTGTGCTAACCTGTACTGACCGGTACCAATCGGTATCAAGCAGCAGCGAACGCACATGTATGTGAGGAATGGGAGCACGTTGACGCTGCTGCTTTGCGGCTGTTGCCGATTGTTTCCTCCCCCTGACCTGAAGTTGAATGAAAGGAGGAGATGCAAAGGGTGTTGAAAGTTGGGGGTATATGGTTCTGAGAGGAACGGCAAAGACGAAGCACTACAGCAATCACTACTAGATGAAGTGGGTGGGGATGTTGACAGGAACGAGGCAACATGAGGGAGGTGAAGAGAACATGAAGAATGAAAGCAGAAACAGTGCTCCACGTTGAAGGAATGTAAAGAAGAAACAGAGGAGGAGAAAGGTGAGAAAGGTGAGAAAGGTGAGAAGGAAAGAGGAAAAGACGTGCATTGGATTGGACCTGAATGG